TATCATAATACAAAAGCACTCTATCGAAAAATTATGCATTTCAAAATTTTACAACAAAGAGAAAAAAGCCAGCAAGCAAGCAGGCAAAACAAAAAAAGGCTTTACTTACATATGACGTAATCCTAGTGCATGTTTGAAAATTGTTACTTTTCTTATTTCACACATGGAAAGAGAGATGCTCAGTTATCACTATAGCTTTAAGAGAAAGATGTCTGTTAAAACTAGTAGTAATAATACGTGGTTACATGCGCGCGCCGGAATAACCGCAAACTAACTAAAATTTGAACGCTATTTTCTATTCGAAAATAAGTTAACCTTGGAAAATCAAATGTGACGTCGGGTTTTCTTCAAGGTCATGACCTTTTCTAAGTTGTAAGACATTTGAAATACGTTTTCAAACTTGCAAGCGTTTTCGAGGTTTCGGACTTTATGTTGGTGAAAGACTTTCTACGTCTTAAAAAAATAGGTCGTGGCCTTAGACTTTGGTATCGGATTTTCCCAAAGGTCATTGACCTCGGGTTTTCGAAAGGTCGTGGCCTTGGACTTTGGTCTGGTGTTACCCCAAGGTCATTGACCCCGGATTTTGTCAAGGCCATTGGCCTCGGACGCTTTCAAGGCCGTGGTCTTGGTTGATCTCGGGTTTCTCCAAGAGCGTGGCCTTGTGATTTCCCCGATTGCGGGGAAATTTGTTACGCACACAAAAACCTGGCGCAACACACTACAAACACAAGAAAGAAATTAATTACGACAACGAAATGCGAGATAAATACATAAATCAAACATCTTTAAAAACCAGGTATCGAGTCAAATGAGGTTAAACAAATTAATAAACGAGATATAAACGTGACATAATATATAAAAATAGTAAACATGTAAATCAATTTAGTACAAATGCATATCAAACACATCTACGGTCAATTTTGATTAACCAACTCGTACGATACATACGAAAAATAACAGCATGAAAAAGGGCATGGCTCTCTCTACTCCAGTATCGACTACCATTAATTTAACATCAAAAGTGCAGGTGAGAATGGAAGCAGTAAGTTTTCATGTCAAAGTCGATCATCTCACATACCAAATCGAAGAAAAGCTCATTAGAGGCCCCTCTTCTAACATTGCTAAGACAAAAGATCTGTCGTATAGAGTGTGTAGTATTTTTTGCCATTCCGCCGTTGTTTCAGATGTAAGGTGAATTGCCTAATAGTAGGGGTATGTCACCACAAACCCCGGACTTCTACCGTCTGCAATGTACCGCATACTTTTCAAACACTGAGACTAGATCTCCTGAATATCTGTCGCGATTTACGCTACAGAAGTTCAGTTGTTATGAGCTTTGCCAAATAAACAGGAATTACTATACATTCTGCCTTAGGCCACTGGCAAAAATAAAATACGTTGAGATAATGAAAAGGTGTTCCGAGCTAGCTCATTATGTACATCCCACCATTGGCATCCCTGCAAGCCGCGGTCATGGCGTGCTCATCTAGAGAGCCGTTTAATGCCACACTCGTTTTCTTTTTCAAATCAAAGTAAAAATGAGTGAACCTTGAATGTTGATTTTATTGGTGACTGCAAATAACAGAACAAGTAAATGAAAAAATGTATGTAAATGAGTGGACAATTCTCACCTGGAATCTCTTAGATACTAACAAACTATACAGAAAATTTCACTTAAATACCTCCAAATGAACAAATGATACTTAATCCATCAAATCCTAATCGGTCTGTTCAAACTTCCCTTTAACTATACCAAACGCAACCCTTGACATTTAAATTGAAAGATAGGAGACAAATAAACCCCTGAATACGTTAGGTATTTTTGATTAATTGCACTTCTCTAATTGATTAGGTACCGTGATCGATGAAATAAGGGGTTATGTGTTATTTTAGTCAACGTATTAGTAGATATAACATTACTATTCCATTATATTAATTTTCCCCAGCTAAAAATATACATACGTAAATTGTAACGAAACTAATGATTAATTACTATCTTCCAACTACGACAATTAATCACACTGTTATGTGGGAAGTTTGAATTCGGCCAGCACTTCTTGCCTGGGTACCTAAAGGAGGTGGCGTCGTTAGGTACCTATAGCTTTTTGTTGGAATGTTAGAGGTGGCTTTTCACGACATTGTATGCCATTTTTCCTCCTTCGAGAAACGTACGACCCGCATTAGTAAATAGAACATATAACGGGAGCCCTTTAATAAGGCCGAATTTTTTGAATTTTGTTTGTGATGCGCAATTTCAGGTATTAAGTATTAGGGAGTATACAGGGTGATGAAAAGTCGGTTTCGAAACAATTGTATTAATTCTACATTTGATAGATCCGTAGATTCGCAAATAAAGTTGACAGCTTTGATATGTGCCACTGGTTTCTGGTGTGTGTCATGACCTGTTAATGGGTTTCGGAAGTTATTGGCGCCCGTCTGCCTGGCATTGAAAATAGATAAGGCTAACTTAATGAGGTTTACGTGCCTAGAACTCGGTCAGAATGTCTTACTTTGAGGCCACGGGAAAATATGAATCCGTAATAATAAAATGCAGTAGGTTTGATTTATGGCAACGTGCGTAATTCGTGCATTTAAACGAATCAAAAGAACTAATGATTAAAGATGGCCGATTTCATTATTAAAGCGCCATTTTAGGGCGTGAAAGAATTAAAAAAGCAAGTAGGGATGCGTCAGGGAGAAACAAAGAAAAGGAGAATCTTTGATTAGCCATCGAGCGTGAAGCTACACTTTTATGACTCGCGAGTCGATTTTTTGTCTGAAGGCTGTAGAGCACGGATGAAATTGATTATTGGTCAACATTTCAGTATATAATCATATTTTGATTTTGTGTAATTATTTATCATCAAGGTGGTCGAAAGCGGAAGGGTTCAGTACTTTTTAAATTCCAGGTGAAAAACACATGTCTATTTGTACTGACGGAATTGGATCAAGATAATTGTAGTAAAATTGAGCTAGCCGTGGAAATATCTTGAGGGAAAAATTAACGGTACCATAAACAGCCAAAATAAAACGCGCCAAGAAATGTAACCCTTGTTAAAACATGAAAGTTTTAGTGAATGTATTTATTGTTTCCTTGAAACTGCCTGAATAAGTAGGTACCTAATTTGCGTAAAACAGTATAAATAAACAGTATCTATACAATGATGTGATCCTCAGCTTCCAATGCAGACTCCACGGTCACGGCATCAAACTGTACTTTGACTTTTTTTACTTTGGCTAAAACCGAAAGGTACTGTAAACTGAGTCACCACAACTCATAAGAAACTAAAAAAAAAATTGACTCGACCAGAACTTTGATGTAAATGTTAAATTGGTACCTAACTGTTTACAGAAACTGAATAAGATTTGTCAAATTAGGCAAACCATTTTGTGTCATGGCAATTTTTGATGATGTGGTTAAGCTAACAAAGAGAGCTAATGTCACTATTGATTGACAATATCTTCCTAGTTACTGCATGATTCCACACTCCTGATGTGAATGAAAGTGTCTTCTCTCTAGCCATTTGTGCCGATGTTCAGACTAAACACAGTGGCTCAAAAACGTTTCCCTGTAGTCAATTTTACTTTCCTCAGTGCATACCTTCAATCATTAACGCAAACATCATGAAGTTCAAGGGTGAGCAAGTCAAGATGTATGGTAGCAGTTATCAGGTAAGGCTGTTGATTTGCGTCTGCATACAGGTTTAGTTTATCCTTGGTGACACAGCGCTAAATATTTATAAAATAGGTAGTCGAATTTTGTGTAGGTATGTAGGTACCATCGACATATAATAAAAAGACTGCGCGTGCCAATAATAAGCGCGGATACTGCAGGTGAGAGAGAAGGGAAAACTAAGAGGGCAAGCTGTCTCTTACGATTACGCATATGATTGGTTCTTTCAATAGAAGCGATCGCGATTGCATTCAAATTAGATTGAAAAGAACAATCAGATGCGTGTTTTCCTTTCTCTCTCACCTGCAGTATCCGCACTTATAATTGACACGCGCAGTCCATTTATTATCTGTCGATGGTCGATGGTATGTACCGTTACAGTAATTTTCCTGTAATCGACCTAGCCATGAAAACAACGACGAAACGTTGACCTGAACGTTGCCCTTACAAAACCATGCCCATTTAACCTAACCTCTATCTTCTATAATCGCGAAGTAACCGATGCAATGTCAATCACTCTGGAACACCCTATAGGTATAATCAAATCACATGAATAAGGATTTAGTTATTTTTGTAATTCTTATTCGTATGTATTTAATTATTGGAAGGCATGAGAAAATTTAAAGGGTCGACAAGTGTTCCAAACCTCCACGGAATTGTAAAAAACGACAAATGACTACTGTCCATCGCTAGGTAAGTAATTAACATTAATTTAAAATGACATTTCCTTGTAATATCCTTTTTTGAAAGGATATTTAATTAAATATATAAACGACTAAACGGAATGATGTCGTGATAACTTACTTATTTAGTATTTCATCGTATCAATAACGATGTAAGTTCAATGGCAATAGTCACGAATCGATAACTCTGAAATTTCCTAGAAAATTATAATTGATTACATTACCTAACCCGCTCTTAATGGGATGATGCATCGTGCAGTTTTAAATTCCCGTAATAAGATAAACTGGATTTGTTGAAATTGAAATTGCAAAAGTAGGGAACGTGTTAGATTCTTCTGCTTTGGGAATACTCCCACCCTTATATTTCCATAATGAAATTTTCGTGAAAATCTCTTCAACCTTCGACTTCTCTCTTCACAAATCCCACTCAGGGAATCTCTCTATATTACTTGTGTAACACACCTGGTTGTCCAAAATGACCCATACAAAAGTGCATGGAGAATTTCAGAGCTACTGCTTATCAAAATAAATTCGTCACTGAAAATGACTCCTTCAAAATACCACAATCACTAGATTTAATTGCTTTACTTGCATAATCACATTTAAATATTTTATTTCACAAATAATCACTCGGCTTACCCAAGTTAACAGAGACTAAAAATTTACCGAGTTCATAAACCCACGTGACATTTTTTTAAATAACGATCGTGACATTTTTTTTTAAAAACGATACAAAGGCCTTAAATCTTTCTCCAACACTATTTGAATTAAATCTTCCCAAATCAAATTTAATGTACACCAAAACCACAGACGAAAATGAAAAGGCTTTTGAAACAACGACCGAACATTGGTTACCGATATAAGACAAATATCTCATTACACTCACAAACGACGACGATGTAGACTTCAATCACGTATATTCAATGGTCTTGAAATGGATTAATTTATAACAGTAAATTAGTGTAAATAAAATGGTATCGTCCGTTGTCTTGTTTGAATCAATTTTTAACACAAGAATAAGGCTTAAAATAATCTCTAAAGATGAAGAAATTTTACACAAAAAAAACACCTGACAAATTTTACCAACTTAAATGTCATCAAATTAAAACTAAAACATTCTAGAGTGATGCTCTTCAGGAAACACGCTCGGGACACCATCCTGGAATCGAATCGATATCAGTAAACAGTAAAATAAGGTAATTTCATTTTTTTAAATTAACAAAATGTGCTATTGTTTGCGTTTTGACCGTCCGTCCGTCCGCCAGTGTGTCCCACTTTTGCAGTTTTGAACTACTTTCAGGGAAATTGTTTTAGAGTCCTGGGAATTTTTTGCAATAGGTAGCGAGTTTTTGAAAGTAAAACTTGCATAACTTTAATACTTTTGAATATGGAGGGGGGCGGGGGCGACCACACGTTTTACCCTTCATGGTATTCTAGTGGAAGGTCCCATCGAAATGAATTGCTTTGTACAAACACAACTTTCCTGCGCAAATACTTTGCGAGATTAGTGGAGAGTGTGGAGATTTGATCTTTTATGATATTGTAATTAAAGGTCTCAGCAAAAGGAATTATTATTCTCTACTCTACCAATTACCGTCCTTCTGGGAGGGGGGGGGGGTATCTTAATGGTACTATAAGGAAAGGAAACGTATTGAAACCCCCCCCCCCCCTTGTAATTACAGAAAAACTTATCTTGAAAATTAATGAAGCGCTAGAAAAATTGCTAAAAGAGAGTTTCAATGCATACTGGTAACTTAAAACGCAAAAGCGATATGGTGAAAATAATTTCAAAACCCAAAATCTTACTCGTGACGGTAAAAACATATCTGTAACTTACGGCACGCAAAAATGGCAAAAGATTACTTCGGCATTACAAAATGCAAAAAGATCCTTCCAAAATTGAGCGTTTATACCTTATAAAGAAAACCGGAAAATTCCAACTCGTCGCGGTATTCGCTCCGAAAGCGATGCAAATTACTTCGGTTTTCAATTAATTACTCGGCCGGTAGTTATCGGAAAAATATAAGATAGGCATCGAACTGCTCACCTTTTAAGCGCGGTCATTAACTTTGAACGCCGCGCCGCCTGGTGGTTTTTTCTACAACTCATTAAGACGCCATTCATTGAGCATGCTTACCCAATTAGGCGCGTTCAATCTTCAATACACATCAATCCAATTAAACACCTAGCCTAATTGGAAGTTTTATTTCAATGGGCGATATCTCGTTGGCGTTGTTGTCTATACCCCGACCTGCCTGCAAGACTGATAACGTGTAAACAACTCCATTTGGAACTCGTTTCTATCCTGGTTTTCGCTTATTATGGGAATCTAACAACGTTAATAATTAATTAACGACGCTAAAACCTTAACTTAAACTATTGACTCCCTTCTTCCCTGGCAAGAGAGCATTCGGCGGCTGTAAGAATAATTCAAATATTCCTACCAGAAGGGTTAAAACTTACGTACTTAGCGGAGATAAGCAATTTAGTGGAGCGAAATCGGGCAAAAAAGTCGTCTAGAAATGGGAAAAAATTTTTTGAAGGTATAACAAGATCAGACCTAGTAGAGTACGTAAATATTGTGATTCTGCATCCGAAATGGTGTTTTACGACATTTTCCGGTGGTCATGACATTTTTTATAGTCAAAAAACTACTCAAAAGTGCCTATGTTTTTAGAGATTTACACCGGGATATCTCGGCTCCCGCACGAGATATTGTTATAATTTTTTCAGTTCTATAATGCCAAATAGTAAGCGCTTCTAACTATGCCTATTACATCGAAAACATGATATAACTACATTATGATAATTGTCATCAAAGTCGATAAATCGATTATTGAGAAGCGTAAACTTCACTCTGCGAGAAACTTTTTTAATATTTGAGGAATCTCTATACATGTATTGTAGCTGATAGTCACCAAAAGTTTTTGGTGAAAGAATTTTAGTGATAGGTCTTACCATTTTTGAGTAAATGATATTTCTATATGCAGCTCGTGCACGTCCGCGGTCCGCCTAGCAGCGCACTTGCTTGGCTGCTACCGGCGCCGGCCGAACAGCCATGTATAGAGATTCCTCAAATGATAAAAAAGTTTCTCGCAGAGTGAAGTTTACGCTTCTCAATAATCGATTTATCGACTTTGATGAAGATTATCATAATGTAGTTATATCATGTTTTCGATGTAATAGGCATAGTTAGAAGCGCTTACTATTTGGTATTATCAATGAATAAAGAATACCAGGAAGGAGCATATCAACAATATACGTGCGACCGCGATGGCTTTTGCAAATGGCGGACAATAGTTTCCTGTTCCAGTGGCGTACCTACCTTACAGTTGTAGAAGGATACAATTATAAAGAATTTTACACGAAAACTATCTAAACCCCCATGTGTCTACTCCTTCTATGACTTTTGTTTAACTAACCTCAAACTACATTCCGATAAAAAATTTGTAAATTGACATGTACTATGTAAAAATAATATTGGTATCAATACTTACACATGAAATGTAATTCCCAAAGTTTTATTTTTTTCTGTTTTGGAGCAACCACAAGCACAACAACTAACCATTCTTTTTATGTCACTGCAACAGCCACAACAACAATGACTCATAAGTGGCTTTTGCAAATGGCCGACTTCCGTCGCACTCTCTCTCGTACCTATACAACTTGATTGATGCTCCTTCCTGGTATTCTTTATTCATTGGGTATTATATAGAACTGAAAAAAATATAACAATATCTCGTGCGGGAGCCGAGATATCCCGGTGTAAATCTCTAAAAACATAAATTTTTATTAAGGCACTTTTGAGTAGTTTTTTGACTATAAAAAATGTTATGACCACCGGAAAATGTCGTAAAAAACCATTTCGGATGCAGAACAATATCTACACATTCTACTAGGTCTGATCTTATTATACCTCAAAAAAAATTTTTGTCACATTTTTGGCCCGATTTCGTTCCACTAATTACATTACACAAAAATGTAAACACAGACAACTCACTCATCGAGCAAATAATTAAATTCCGGAACTTCAGCAACGAAACGGTAAACTCGATACCGGGTGTTCAGTAAAGATGGTCGACTTCACAAATGTACGGTGCGGTCATAATTTCTGGTATGAACTTCGGGGTGGAAATGGGTGCTTCGTTACACTACTTGCTACCAGATCGGGGCTATACTATGACTATGGATGCCGTAATTACTTAAAACCGCATTTGTTGATTAGTTCAACAACTTGTTTTATATGCACTCTGCAGTATAGAATCAGAATAATTATTGGATTCCGCATTCGCGTATAACCAGTTTCAAGTTTTAAGCGGTGCCATTGTAGATATCCCCCGTATAACTAGACCTTTTTTCCATATATTCAATTAACAGAATCAGCTCCCAGTAAACAGTGGTTATGACTTTCCACTTTCCAAATTGCGTCTTTAGCTTATTGAGGGGCGTTGACCCTTTATGAACCCATTGTATGGACTTTTATTTTGTAGATGGGTGTATCTCGGTCTCATCCCCAGTTACAATTCCCTACAAAATCTATCTTGGTTATAATGCAGTCAAATTCTCCTTGGAAGTTTGTGGTCCACACAGTTTTTGTTCGGAACTGAGGATCTTGGGAATCCACCGTGCCGGCACTTGCTCATTCCCAAATCTTCATCTAGAATTTTAAAAACACCCGCATTTATTTACTGATAATCGAAATTTTTAGTAGGCGGACAATTAATATCTAATCTTCTACTTTTCGTTCATTCCTGCCCCCATATGCGCTCTCCACATTCATGAATGGATTCCCTGACTATTACATTTTGCACACGGACGGACAGACAAACAACAATACAAAACTATATGAGGATTCTTATAGTAATTGTTTCCCCTAGTTTGATAGTTTATACCATTGAATAAAAACACTATTTTTATTCAATGTTTATACTCAATCCAATCGTTATAAATATGTGTAAAATTTGGATTACATAATTGAGCATCAAAATTGGTTGCTGTTTTAGTTTGTTTCCCACTGCACACTTAGTCTACGCATGTAGAAGATTGTACGTAACATTTACGCAGTGCCTCAAAACATAAATAAATCATATCACAGTTTAGTACTGTCGCAAATTCCGCCTCAACTGTAAAAAAAACCATTTACTTCCATCTGTCATTTATGTGATAAAATTCACCGCGCCTCGGTCAAGGGTGCTGATTCATACCAACACAAGGTTACTTAAAATATTATACAACACTTTGAAGAGCAAATCTACCTACAGTTCTAACGTAATTAGTTTATTGTTTGATTGAACGGTCGCGTTTTTGGCTAATAACAATGTGTCCATACGAGTATCATCAAGTAAATGCAAACGCGGTATGTATAAAATACATCATATATTATCACAAATCTAGTAGTACCGATTACTACAACTTTTCAATCAATAGTAGAGTAGTAGTTATAAGTGGGTTGAGGCCATGCGTTTGACTTTACACACGATTGTTGGAGCACGTGCTCTAATGCTCGACAGTAACTGAAAAAATTAAAAAACGTCAAGCGTGTCTATCAAATTCAAAGGTCAACGTTTATATGAAAAAAAATGGACGAATGAAAAGTTGTGCTTGATATGTCATGCGTATGTAATTAAAATCATATTAGACCAAGGGTGCGTTATGGGCGTATATTCGGATACAAATTACTTACACGATATCTGGTAGTTACTACCTGAAATTAGGAGTAACTATATTAATGTTGTGCAAGATTAGTTATATACATCACGTCCACAGTAAAACCAAAAGAGATAACGTCTGTCTGTCTCACTTTGTTCTGTCCATTTTGTTCATAGTCTCCCTACCCTGTTGTTTCGTGGACGTGGTGCACTCGTGCCTCAAGTATTTCTTTGGCTAGTCTTTTATTACTCGTTCTGCTTCCAGCTGAGGTGTCTTTCTTCTATAATCTCTTAGGTATATTGGTTGGAGGTTTATTATTATTCCACTACTCTGTACCCTATCTCTTTTATTAACGAGCTCCTAGCGAGTTTATAATTTTGCGGTGCCTGTCCGTCCGTCCGTCCGTTAGCACGATAACTCATAAACGAATGGACCGATTACGATGAAATTTTGCAGATGGATTCTTTATCAAATTTGTAGATCGGAATTCGTGAATTGGCAATGTAGCCCAAAAAGAAATTAGGCCCTTTTGACATCTCCGTTAGTTATGAACCGAATTGCATGAAATTCAATATGCGCATAGCCATATAAAACACAATTCAAAAAGTTGAGCCTAATCGATCAGCATTCACAGTGCCCTTTGCGCATCTCGACCATTTACAGACCGAATTGCAAACTTTCTTATTTATGGAGGGATTTAAATGAAATTTGATGCATAGGCACTTGGAATAAAAGCAAATGTAGCGCCATTTTCCAAATTTGGTTTTGTGTAGGATGTGCACTGCCAACTTTCTTATTTATGGAAGCAATTAAATGAAATTTCATACATATACACTTTAAATAAAAGCAAAACTAACATCAGGTTTAAAATTTAGTTTTGCACATGCTATAGCCATACCCAGGAGCTCGTTTGCTATATTTGTTTAATTTATTAGCATTGGAAATGCTTATGTTTTGTATGGGTATGAATTTACCAGGTTTGCCGAGTAGAAATGAAGTGGTGTCGCGTCTAGTGTTGATTGTACCGTACTCGACTGCAATCGGTTAGATTGAGAAAAAGTCACGGATCCTGTCGAAACGGTACTTACTTAACAGTGCGCAGGGGTTTTGTTAATGAATTTAAAATTCTCATTTCTCGCACATCATCCGTGATAGTGTTACAAGCATGTTACACGGTTACACCGTTTATTATTGAGAAAGTTTACGTTTGCGACACGAGCGAGCTAGCGAGTTATTTATGACTTTATAGGGCCATCATTTCCATTGTCTCCGATGGTTGCAAGGATTGCGAAACCTGGGAATTTTTTACGATTGTATTTCATAGTAGTTCCCATATATTCGTAACTTTTTGACCTGCTCGAGTATTTGGCCATTTTATCTTCTTTAATCTCATTTGCCATTATCATCATCTTACTTTTACTTATGTTTATTTCTATATTTATTTTACCCAGTTCGATCAGCTTTTCTTCTGGCCCTTTCGCATACTATATTACCATATCATGAATCATCTGCACTTCTATTATCTTCATCTTCCAGTATCCTTATAGGAATAAACTTTGTCGACTCGTTATTGTGTGATCTTTCTTTGTATTGTTTTTATACAAAGATTGTACTAGTCTCATCATATCTTCTTTTCCTCTTCTCTTTAAGCCTTCCCACTCATCCTTTCTTCTCAATTGATCAATGGTGTTTTGCAAATCAATGAACAATGGATGCATTTAAACGTTCAGTCATCACCATAAAATCGTTCCTTGAACGTCCACATGAAGTACATTGAATATAGCATGGACATTCGCAGGATGTTACTTTGGCACAATCCTTAACATTGCTCGGACGTTCTTCAATGGACGTTTTAGGGATGTCCATTTTATTTATTGCTCATGCGCATATTGAGTCACATTATAACCTCTAAATTCTACAGACATGAGGCATTTGACGTTACATTTATCAAAAATAACATATGACGTGTACCGTACATGGTCTCATATTTGTTTTCGTTCTCTGTAGGTTCATTGTATCGCCTCAACCAGCTCTGTATTGCAATTTCCGCATCCTTTATTATTATTGTACATTCCCTAGTTTTCAAAAACCAGAGAATTAAATTGGCAAATCTATATCTGTTATTAAGGATCCTCAGATCCTTTACAGTTTTGTATTGTCGTCCGTCCGTCCGACCATGTGCGCTCTAACGCTTTTTGAAAGTGGCCGATTGTGTTGAAATGTGGTGTACGGGTCCTATGGATATTAAGGACGGACGCTATTGCTTTTCAGGACGCTGGTGCAACAGCAACAAAAGTTATAGGACTTTGAGTGCTGTTCTATTTTTGGTTTTGTTCGAAAGGGCTGCTACCACTGAATGTATAAAGTACGCACGACAATAAATTCGTGGAAAAATGGTGGTGCAAATCTTCGGTTACGGAGCCAAAGTTTTTCCACACACTGCGGTTATACGGCTTTCGGTTTAAACTTTTAAGTAACAATGAAATTTTACGCCACCTCCAAAATGGCGTACACCATTCACAATATTCCCCTTGCCAGATTGGCGAAGAATTTCGTTCTGTAAATCTCCGCGCTCACGACACGAGTATTTGCACCAAAGGTTTGACTAAAAAATCAATACGCGATCGAAAAATGTAGCGCTTGATCGGCATAGATTCTCTTCAAAAATTCTAATAAGAATCTCGTTCTCCTACCAGATTTTTACTTAAATACCTCGCCGAATCCCAAATACGAACCGACCTTATTTTCCTGACCGCAACTTTTATTGGAAAGGTTACCCCAACACAAATCCCGAATTTTGATCACGTGCTCGGCTTTTCGCAAAACGGGGCGCAACTTTTCAGGTCTGTGAGATCGTGACGTTTCGAGTCTTATCTACTTGAACACTTGTCTCTAATCTTAATCTTTGCTTATTTGCAGGTGGTTGTAACACTGCTTATCATTTTACTCGCTCTGTCCTGTTATTTATTTATCAATTGGGAAATCTTTAAACACATTATCTTTATGCCGAATGAGAGCATCTGATAACCACATATATTTTGATTAAAATATATTTTAATGTTTTGAGACGTGTATTTTGACCAAAACATGTGAAAACCTTTATCCCTTAAAATCTTTTGGAGCAAGATCAAAGGCATTATCTTTATGCATGAATTGTGTCAACCACGTGTATTTTGATCAAACGTGTTCAGATTTATGATTGATACCGCTATTAGATCATTTATCAAGAGAAATTATAATCATCAGGATACATAAATACTGTATTCGAAACTCGGTTAATGAAGTCATAGGTTTTACTCCAGGGTTTTTACTCCGTTCTTAGAACTTCTGGATAACCGGGACATCGTGTGTGACCTCGTAGTTACTAGTTAGTAGGTTATTCAAAAGTAGGTACGATGCCTACCTATTAATTAATTAATTTAGGTATACATCGCTGTAGGCTTACATAATACAAAACAAACGTAAACAAGTGTCACAAATTAATTATTTAATTACCTACCTAAATAATATTAATTAAAAAGGCTAGATCATCTTTTTTGAAATTTACCTTGTTGCATAAAGTGTAACAATCGTACTGATTCGTCCCAACTACTAACATATTGAATTCCTAATCTAAATGCTCGGAACCATATAAGGGCTCCCCCTTCAAAAAGACCTACTCTACGTAATAGCTGTCGGCAAGAAACAAATTGTATGCGGCGTTTCCATATGGATGATTCAAATCCAATCCAACACTGCATAGTACGTCCGTAGTAGACTCCGTCCAATCCACTTTATTATTCCAAAATGGTGACCAAAAATTGTAATTTATACAGAGCAGCCCATACAATGGTGCTGAGAAAGTTACTTTTGAATATGTAAATACCGATCGTTTCGATAAGGTCTCTGTCGTAGGAATTTTGTAAAATCCGTCATTTTATAAAAAATAAAATGCCTAGGAATTTTGTGAAACGCTGACAATTTGACGTGTAGGGTAGTTTCCCTTATCGTATACCATTTATCGCTATCGAAGGGGAAGGGAACCCAATCGCTTAGCCCCAGAAAGTACACTGATGTTTGCCCGTGTTTTATAAACTGCCTAGGCATTTTATAAAATGACCCCTTTCTTGCCTTACAACCTTTTATTTCTTTATCATCGCTCTTCGCCCCATTCAGACTTCCAAATTAATCACTTCGATTTAAGTGAAATTGAATACCTACGGATCTCCCCAATGCATCGTTCCCATTACGATGATAGGGCGGACGCGGTTAACCTATCTCAGTTTGTAGTTAAAATGTTGCATTGGGTACTTTTGAGACCGATAATGATTAAGTACCTAATTTCGGTGTACTACACGTCGAGGTAAATTCTATTTCAGTGACAGTCGTCACTTAGATATATTTTTGTTTTATTTCAAGTGTGTGCGTCGCTCTCAATTTGCAAGATTCTACCATTGAATAAAAACACTATAATCATTGAATAAAAACACTATTTTATTCAATGATTCTACCTAGTTCATTTCAATATTTCTCAGGAATGAATACAATTGCGCGGGCCTTGCACCTATGTTCGCCATTGTAGGATGTGGTTTATTAATAATCTGCAGATTACGAATTTTGGTAGATGTGTATTAACAACACTGTATTTCCAATGTAAATACAAATTTTTTGAAGTTATGCACGTCCGAAAATCGCGAGTGTTCCGTTTGGTTTCTACATGTAAATATTATGGTGCGTAAGGGTGTAATCTGTTGTACGGGGTGTGACACCTGTTTCGAGTGTGTTCAAAAACACTTACAGTTTCGATCTCGGTTTCGATCGTACCAGGAAAGACGTACATCGGTAAGATTATTATATGAAAACCATGCAATAGCCTTTTGAAATAAAATTGTTACGCCCGTTTTCAAATTTAACCCTCAAATTACCCCATGCTATTTGAAAGGAAGATTATCTTAGGGCCGATTCTACAATGCAGGTATCTATACCGAGAATAAGCTATAGCTATAAGTACCTATGATGGCAGTTTATTCCAAGAATTGATTCTGCGAGTCGGTGTAATTGTAGAACCGGTTCTAAATCGACTAAATCATACCTAAGTTTTGAATGAATTACTTCCTTCGGCTGATGTGATTCGATTCTATCTTTGTTCTTACCTTGAATTCTTTTATTTCTCCCAGTATATTTTCAATCAATTCCCGTCTTACTCCCATGTATGCGAATGCTCGTCCTTATATTCCTCCTCGTATCCCTCCATATTTCCGTATTAGTATTCTTCAACCTTTCTTTTCTGTTAATTCCATTCCAATAACAAATCTTCCTCTTTGTGGCATTATTTATCTCTTGCGTTTATATCTTGTGTTCTTCTAATCTCTATCCATTTTCCCTGTTTTCATATTCACATTTAACCCCCCCCCCCCCCTCTACCAGTATTTGTCCCTCCTCAGTACTTCTCCCTTTCATTTATCGTATTTTCTATTTTATTTTTTAACTCATTGCTTTTCTGTTATATAGGCACAGGGTGGCCCACTGAAAACAGTCAATGCTCATTTTGCCAACTTAACAACAGTTTTACCAGAAACGCTCGAACACGTGAATTTTAGTTTTGAGGAGGACACCTAAATTAAGTAATACTACGTACATAACTTGCTTGTGTCAGAAAAGAACATCTGACATAAGTGCAATAAGTGCACAGGCAATGAAGCGAATTTGTGAAGGCAGAATCGCCATTTAAAAAAAAATCGAAACAATGTCCACCCTTTGCGCTATAATGTAAACCGTGATTGTTTTTGAATTTACCACAAACAAAATTAAAGAAGTTAATCACAATTCGCTTCATTCTTGTGCACTTATTGCACTTATGTCAGATGTCCTTTTCTGACACAAGCTCTCAATTAGGTATTTCAATTTCAACGCCTACTTAATATTTAACATAAACATTTAAAACAGCTCTGCAAATCCATTTAAATCGAGTTTTCTCTCGAACTACTGATCGGATTTGAAAAATAAAAACAGTTCTGAAAACATAATGAACATTCCTTTCGACCCATCTAACATTTACTAACCCTTCCCATTTAAAATGTTTGGGGTGCAATTCACTCCCATCTCAGAGTTAAAGTTATGTAAGTAGTATTACTTAATTTGGGTGTCCCCCTCAAAACTAAAATCGACATCTTCGAGCGTTTCTGGCAAAACTGTCATTAAGTGGGCAAAATTGGCATTGACTGTTTTCAGTGGGCCACGCTGTATGTATAGTTATCACAATCATTCTCATCCCCTCCACTTCCACTCGTCTTTCTTGTACGGTTTTCCCCTCATTCGTTTCCTCCTGTTCATCCCTTCGTTATCCTTTTTTGTGCCCCTAAGTAATATGCCTCCTTTTGCTTTTCCATTTATGTTATCCCTATTCGCAAATGGGTTCTTCTATTTTAGGTATATGTATTGACTCGGTACCCTATTCTTTATTTTTCCCACTTCTTTTCTTCTATGCATGATTCCACCAACCTCACAATATCATATCCTCTTAAAAACTCCCAGAAAGGTGTGTCTTCGCTCGCTATTCTCGCTACATTCCAGCAGGCCCGTAGTCAGAGGTCTTGCTCCCTCCCGAAACTATGGTTAATGGTTTTAATCTCGGTTTTAATGCTTCTTTTACAGGTTGACTTGTGAGCGAATTTTTCCTAATTTTTAAGGGAAGGTGCTTCTTTAATTTTGAGAACAAGTGGAGATCGGGGCTGCAAGTGGCATATTGCAGGAGATCCCAGCCAAATTTGGTGATTAAGTTCGTGGTTTGGCAAGAGATATGCGGACACGCATCCTCATAGTGCAGCCCTGCGCCTTTTGGTCAGCCTTCCTCTTCGGCGTTTTTAGCACATTTCCAACGAAGTTGGGTGCGCTATTGCAGCCACTTTCTCTGTCCGTCCGTCTGTCCGAGGCCTTAATTACTCCTACAGTTTTCAAGATATTTAGTTCGTTCTTTTTGCATTCGGTAGCGGTAGCGTATAATAATAATAATGGCTTTTATTATATTACATACTATAAGATAACCTCAGGGCGCAGTTCAATCTCCAGAGATTGTTCTTGCACTGAACCCTGATATATATAGCCTACAATCATTTATGCACTCGTCTATAAATAATTAGTGAATACTAGCAAGAAGTGATTCAAACATGTAATAATCATCTGCAAATGATGTGGTCAGATGCAATCAGTTAATTTATATCTATTAATGAAGTAATAGCATTATAATAAGTGCGTGGTCGTCTGTCCCTCTAATAAGATTAATTTTAATTGAGCCTTGAAAGAAGACTGTGAACAACTTTTAAGGTTCAAAGATATGTTGTTGTATAGTCTGGCTATTTGGAATGAAAAGGCCCTTTCATAAACAGCTTTTTTATGCAGCGGCGGAGTAATCATACCTTTGAACCTTATGTGTGAACATGCGTCCTAAATACTATTTTATTTGTTAAATAAGGTGGAGTGGATGTTTGTACAATTTTATGAAATAAACAAGCAGTTTGCAAATATCTTCGATTTTTCATATTAAGCCATTTAGCCTTTATTATCTTACTTACTATAAGATAACCTCAGGGCGCAGTTCAATCTCCAGAGATTGTTCTTCCACTGAACCCTGATATATGTAGCCTACAATCATTTATGCACTCGTCTATAAATAATTAGTGAGTACTAGCGAAAAGTGAATCAAACAAGTAATAATCATCTGCAAATGATGTGGACAGATGCAATCAGTTAATTTATATCTATTAATGAAGTAATAGTATTATAATAAGTGCGTGGTCGTCTGTCCCTCTAATAGGATTAATTTTAATTGAGCCTTGAAAGAAGACTGTGAACAACTTTTAAGGTTCAAAGATATGTTGTTGTATAGTCTGGCTATTTGGAATGAAAAGGCCCTTTCATAAACAGCTTTTTTATGCAGCGGCGGAGTAATCATACCTTTGAACCTTATGTGTGAACATGCGTCCTAAATACTATTTTATTTGTTAAATAAGGTGGAGTGGATGTTTGTACAATTTTATGAAATAAACAAGCAGTTTGCAAATATCTTCGATTTTTCATATTAAGCCATTTAGCTTCTGCTAATTTGTGCGAGATTCTGTCAAATTTTCTTATACCATATATAAGACGCTCTGGCACCTGGGCTTAATTTTTTATTCAATGACCTGGGCCAAGGAAAATCTTGATGATTGAACTGCGCAATGTTAACTTTTTTATTTATTAATATATTTTGTTGCAATGCAAACTTTCTTATTTATGGAGATATTTCTTTGAAATTTTAACCAAAGATGCTTATAGTAAAACGGTCCAGCGTTGGGAACCTTAATTTTTACACAGCCCTCGTAGATAAAGCGCATTTTTTAAACCGAAATAGCTTAGTAAACAATTAGGTTCTAAGGTATCAACTGACATAACATGTACCTAAAAATGGCTACCATAAGAAAAAAGAACGTTGATGATGGTCAACCGGAGACGAAACGTCATTTTGAAAAATTTCGTTTCTTGCCGGATATCTTCGGAAGTAGTCGGATTTTTTTCAATTTCAAAACGGTATTTTGTTAACGCAGTTTTGCCAAATTGCATTTTTCGTTTCGTTTGTAGGTCCATTTTCGAAATATTCACACATAAGTTTTCATATCGCCAGTAGATATGTGTCGTTTAGACATTCCAACCACTCTTTGAGACTACCTTCCAGACGTTCTACTTGCCCTTTATGAGAACCCTCTCGGTCACTTCGATTTTGAGATAGGTCTTGTCCAGACGATTCATTTTGCCTTTGGGAGTACCTTCCTCCGACACACCGTTTTCAAGATATTCGCTTTCACCAATGATGATATATTTTGTGTAGAAGTTCCAATCGCACTCCGCTCTGGGGATATGAGGAATCATAACTGATCACCATAAAGGGTCGCACAGGAGGACTGTGGTTGGTAGAAATGAATTTCTTCCGTTGAGACCTTTCATTAGTTACAGTACCAGTTCTCTCCCCCTTCAACTTCCCATTTTGATAAGGGGTAAGGGGAAAGGGCGGTGGGTGGTGGAAAACCATTCCTTTCGTTGATACTTTTTTGCGCGATCGGTCATTTCTGACTATTTACCATGTGTGTTTCCATGACAGTACGTAGCATTTACCAGTTGCTATGATTACGACGACGCCAAAATTACTTACCAATCTAAAAACAGAACAGCAAAAATACTTACCGACGCCTTTTTAAAAATCAACAGTCTTACATTACATTTAATCTTTAATTATTGTTAGGTACATTAAACGTACAATTTGTGCTGTTGTTTCCTATAGAAAGACGCTCATAAAGTCATAAAGGAAGTGCAAAGCTAGCAAACTACATCAGACACATGCACAATTTTATGAAATTATTAATTTCAATTTTGACAAATAAACTGGTTACCTAGTGATGTACACCATACCACTTCGATCATTTCGATTTATTCTGCTCGTTAATTTCTTAGTGCATATTTATATTGGTTACATAATTTTAATTTCGATCGCGCAAAAAATTTTATAAGCACGTCGAACGTTAAGGGTTACCGTTCTCAGACAATAACAATTGTCTTCGAACGGTAAAAATCCCTTACCGTTCTCCATACTTAATATACTATTAATTAGAATACAATGAGAGATAAAATTAATTTTTAACACCTCACCCCCATTCACCCATCTCAAAAAGGCGTCGCGAAGGAAAGCTACAGTTTGTATAAACATAAACCAAATCCTTCCGACGACACCTTTTATTAGAATACCATAATGGGTAAAACGTGCCCCCCCCCCCATTTTCAAAAATTTTGTTTGCTCCTTAGAGGCATGCGTATGCAATATATGAGACAAGTTGGTTGTCGCATGTAAAAATTCAGAAACAGCATCTTAGGAAATTACGTTATTTGGCGGCTTCTTTGTCCTCATGTACTTCTTAAAGGCCATGAAAATTTCACTCGAAGAGTTCAAATAGTTTGTCCTGTCCAAATTTCACAAATAGGTACTTTCTTCCTTCACAACTTTTCTTTAAATTAAAAAGTTCAAAACTTTGGTTAAATGATTTCAAATCCACTCGTACTTTGAATTATCGCAGTTAATTATATAATCTATTAATTCCTCTCAGGGCGCTTTCACGCGAAAATTCCAAGTGCGAATATTCGCATCGGACCCCTCATAATCCAAATATCACCTCCGGTAATTTATCAGCTAATCGAATTAATTTAACTTAACCCGGGCCGGACCTTATAATGATACTGCCGTTTATCTTGTGTAATACTTACTTCTAAAAAATCGCGCAACTCCAATCCAACCGTAACTTGCAAAAAAACTACCCTTATAACTCTTTTAACTACTAAAATCAGTTTATAATCTCGCCCACAATATACAAAATCGAAAAATTGTTAGAGGGCTTCCGTTAATTGTGGAAACGCAATTTTGTAAACTGATTACCCTTGTCTTATACAAGGTAAGTTAAATTAACGGATTGCTATGAAGGAGGGCTTGTGAGCATCGGCATACATATGAAACATCTACAATCCAGGGTGATTTTTTTTATGTGTATTATGAGGATCTGGTAAACCATAAGCCATACCGAATTTAAAGACTTTCAAAAAAGGTATCATTTGACTGTTACTTCCATTTGAAATGTTTGACATTAGTGTTGTTGTGGGGATCTGGTAACTGACAAGGGGTTGATTTTTACATTTTATTCTTCCCTGAAAACCAACCGATCACAGACAACCTGCAACAAGCAACCGGCAATACGCAACCGGAAACATGCAACTGGTAGTAGACAACCGTAAACCGGCAACTTGTAACCGGTACCACGCAACCGGGAACTGGGCACCGCGGATATCGCCCGCCCGCTTCTTCCATCTTTATTAGGACATAGCTTTAGGCGACTCTGATTTTTGATGTTTGGATGGCATGTAACGACTTCGGTTTACCCACTAGAAATTGTATCCACGTGAGATAGGTTGATAATAGCCATTCTTGTTTCAGATTAAAGAAGGAAAGATGAGCAGGAGGATAGACAAATTCTTCTTGTTGATGTGGAAGAATTTCTTATTACAATGGCGACATCCTCGACAGACGATAGTGGAAATAATGGCTCCAGTACTCTTCTGCTCTCTTTTGGTTGTAGTCAGAAGTCTGGTACATCCCGAACCGCATCCCGCCAGGTTCTACTCGAGCTTTCGAAATGCCATGCCAATACTGACCAATGCCACAACGTAAGTGATTTAAGAAAGTTTTGAACTCCTCCAAGAACAATTTTTAGGATAAACTCGATCGCCTGGTCGCCAGACAATCCGCGTTTGCGCAAGATAATGGAAGGTGCCGTTAAAGCAATTTGTAAAGATGAAGATCCGCCGTGCTTTCTGTCGCTTCGGTCGTTTCCAAATAGTTCATCTTTACAAACATACTTGAGCAACGATCTTAATCTGGTTGTCACTCTGGCTGGAGTGCAGTTTAGAGATTCCTTAAGCGGAGATGTAGAGCTGCCTGCTAAAGTAGACGTCACACTCAGGTGTGTAAGTAGGTACAATATTTTAGGGTCTAATCACAAGACGATGTCCTTTCTTGTAACTGCTCTTCATCCATATAGCTATTCCTTTCTTCGAATTCGCTGGCGACGGACACTAGTAGGATTACACTATGAAAGGCTAGTAAGTCTATCATTGACCAATTGATTACAATTAAAATATGTGCCATGGTAACTGGTAAATAGCTGCCAATGAAATACCCGAGGAAATACCATATTATGTACCAAGAGATTAAAAACCTGTGTACATACACCATCGTAAGAAAGTACAAATTCGAGATATGTAAACGTGTTTATTAGTATGAGTTACCATGTTTTCAACGTACCTAACGCTTATTTATGGCAGCTGGATTAGTATTAATCCTTTAATACCTCAAGTGAGGCGTTTTTAACTTCTAAAGCCACTGATTCCATAGCAACAGGTCGTGAAAGTAGATAAGGAATGGAGCCAGTCTTTAGAAATGTATGGTTAGGCCATTTTATTACAATTCACAGCCGTTTCTGGCATTTTCATGGGATGTGACGAGAGCCCGCTAACGTATTTAAATTTTTCAATTCGATTTTAAATTTTCGTTATGTTTTTATTGATGTTCTGTAGTATATTTGTCTATATATATTTACCGCGTCATAGAAGGCGACGAAACAACTGCAGGTCAGTCCCAACCCCAGTGCTGAAATATTCCAGGGCGCAGGGTGTTTGTGGTTTGATACAATTGACCGATGTATGACTTTTTTGCCGTTTCGTGACGATTTTTAGACAATCTAGCTTTGGAGTCGTGTTGCGAGGGGGACTTAGGTTTTCGTGTGGTATAGTTCGCCAGGAACGGCCAAGGTCCTATCACCGTAGGCGAAGTAGTAGTGGTTTAAAAATTCAGATGGCGCAGGATAGATGACTGAATCTTAATAGAATGGTCTTATGCGTTTTAGGTTCCCTCCGTGTGACGGTTTCTGTCCCCGCCTAGGGTCCAGCACTTAGGGTATCTAGGGAAATGCCGTACTTAGGTACAGTTCTCTGTTGCAGTATCAGAGCTCGGCTCTTTCCAAGACGCTGCATGGCATTTTTCCTTCTTCAAATCAAGCACTGTCCGCTCTAGCATTGAATATCCAACTCAATGGCTCTAGTAACACATGGGTGTAGGCGAGATTTTAAATTGATATAATAGTTTTAAAGGTGGTTTGTTCCTTGTTAGGTCTGGAGTTATGTTTTGTAGAGTTGCGTTTTTTTGGAATTGAGTATTACAAGGTGGTCTAACTGGAGAGCGAAATTTCTTTTCGTAAGTTTTTGGGCGTTGGTCCTGGATTACGATCGTGATTAAGTGTTTGAGTGAGAATGCTTAGGGCGCCTGTTAAATCGTGACGGTCAAGCTGAATCAGATCTAGTGTGGGTGTTTTACCAATTCGGTAAGAAATTTCCGTCCGAGGTTTCTGGCAAACTGTTTTTCTGGAGATATTATTGGCTGAAAGACATTGGTAGAACCAAAGAGTGGTAGAACAGATTCGGCCTGAATGCATCGGGTTTAGTGTAGGATAGCAGCCTAGCTATTACCAAATTGAGAAATTGAGTGCCTACTGATTTCGTTGAAAGCGTTTCTGAAGTCGATGTTCAGGAATGCCTTGGGCTCAAGGTGATTTGATTGGGAATGTAAGGAATAAGGAAGTAATGGTTTGACCATTGTTTTTCGAACATCTCCGGAGACTCGACACTTTATGTTTTAATTTGGCTAATAGGAATCCAAGATCCGCATCAACAATAGAAGCGACACCAACACCATCTTCCATGGAAACCCTTGAACCCCCCTGTAGTGATATTGACCCCCTCAGGCCGTTGAATCCAAGCGTCTGGTGATCATGTCTGGTTTGTCTTGCAGCCACAATTTTGGCTACTATGGCTGGATACCGACAACGTTTCCTCAATCAACTCGCAGATACCGAAAAGAGCAGGCCATTTCCAGCAGACCGAATTTCCGAAGACGCCCGCAGTATAAATTGGCTTTACAATACAAATTATGTCAATATATTGCTGTGGCCCCACGTTGGGCGCCAATTAAAAATGCTGTATGTACCGGTCCGTAGGCCAAAAAGACCGTACACAAAACACCTAAACAAACCTAGCTAGCTCAAACCTTCATCTTTCTCGCAACAAAACTTCTCCCCAGCACAGAGGAGGAATTCGACTCTTTTCTCAGTTAAACCATTAACTTCTACCAGATAGTGGGTTAGACCAAATACCTTAAATTCCAATTGGAACTTAAGAATTTTGAATAAATAAAATGGACCTTGGGCAAGCATCCAAAGAAAACATTAAATTAAAGGAAATGAAATCGTTCGAAAGACTTACACAGAAATTAATGTCAGAAATACAAAATTCAAATTTAATTGTCACACACACAATGAAAATAATACAAGAAAAACAAACAATTATTACAAAGAAAAAAAAACTAACTAACTAACTAAAAACTAAACTTATCTACTTACATTAGGTACATGTCCAGAACTGCTAATCCAAATACGGTACACAAAAACAACAAATTTCAAATTACACAAAAAAACACTTAAGTCGGCGCCGACTACACCTTAGTGACGCACTTTATTAAAGGCCCAAACTCCCAAAAACTCCTCGAAAAAAAATGCCGCAATACAAACTTGCCGCAAACTCGGCTTACTACTCCGTAAAACAGAAACTCTACTAACTTCCAATGCTGGTTGGCTTCTACACAATCCAAACTACGGCGGTAACTCGCCGAAGCGAAATAAATTTCTTCACTAAACTCAAAACTTGCCCACACTGGCAACAAAACTGACGATAAAACTTTAATACTCCAAAACAAAACTTCAAACTTCAGCAAACGTGGATCTACTCTCAATCTCGCAAGACGCTGATTTCAATTTTCAAACAAACGTAGTTCCGCTCTGAACTTGGCAAAAAGCCCTTCTTCTTCTCCGTCCGTTCTATTTAAGGTGGAAACCCTTCATCCAAAATTACAAATTAAAATAGCCAATGATAGGCAGTTGACAACAGAAAATTTACCCCCTAACGTACGTTAAATTAGAGGTAGAAAATTATTTTTATAATCAATTTTTAACAGACATTAAGAGATAATTTTTCTTCCTTTTAAATACAACGAAAAGGCGATAAATAATATCCACCTTTCAATTAAATTAAGCGTTTACAATGATAACAGAATAAAAGCGATATAAAATTCTCGGAAATCTACCTTAAAGAAAATTAAAAATGAACTTAAAAATGTACACAAAAACAAACCTTGACCTCTTTCTCGTAACAATAATTTCTGTTTCAGTAACCAACGACACAAAACAAAAATTTAGATTAAGAAAATTAATTACATAGAAAATAGGAAACCGCCCTTGTCCATCCTAGTTATGAATCCCAAAATTTCGTCCTGCCATACGAAATATCACAGCAATATTGTTACAGAATCAAAAATAATAATCAATAATAATAATTTAGAATACATATGATCCGGTTGCACCGCCATTCAAGGGGATGAAAAACTCACCCCCGTATATTATCGCGAGAACGGCACATAGTATCAAGACCAAATTTACGTGAGAGCTTGATAACAATTCCACAATTAATATTCAAGAAAAACATCCCCGTGCACGGCCGTCCCAGGGGTTGAAAAACTTACCCACGTATATTATCAAGTCTATATGCATATTTCTATTCCATCATCTATTCAATTTGTTTGTTTGTAACTAGCGTCAAATTTTGTTAAATTTAAAATTTATTTTTAATGTATTATATGTAGAATTATTTTTAGCGCATTTTCCAACGAAGTTGGGTGCGCTATTGCAGCCACTTTCTCTATCAGTCCGTCTGTCCGAAGTCTAAACTACTCCTACAGTTTTCAAGATATTAAGTTCGTTCTTTTTGCATTCGGCAGCGTATAGCTCTAGCACCTGAGCCAAGGAAAATCTTGACAATTAAACTGTGCATGCGCAGACTGCGCAATGTGAACTTCCTTATTTATGGAGAAACTTCTTTGCAATTTTAACCAAAGTTGCTTTTAGTGCAAGAAAACGTATCGCATATTGTAAAAAACATCAGATTAATGCGCGCATGCGCAATATCAACTTATTTATCGAGATATCTTTTTGAAATTTTAATCACAGATGCTTCTGTTAAAGGAAAACATAATATTGCAAAAATTAGATGTGCGCATGCGCAGTCAGTGCCAACTTCTTTATTTATCAAGATATTTCTTTGTAATTTTAACCATAGATGCTTCTAGTAAAGAAAGAATCCCAGCGTACGTAATAGCTATGGCCTTTTGGGAATTTTAATAATAAATGTTTTCAGATGACAGAAAGATACACCTTGTAGTAGTTTGTAATAGAGAATTTCAGAAGTAGACGACGCTATAAACCGTTCTCAGCATATCTTTGGGGTAATTACAAATATTTTATCGAAACTATCAGAGAAAGAATTATAGAAAATATAGATAACGATCATAGCATCTTGAGGATACTTTAGTTTAGACTAACATTATAAGTGGACATCTTTGTACCAAGTACCAAATTCGTTTTCTTGCATTTAAAAATTGTGGAATTATTAACATCCTCTCACGTAAATTTGGTCGTGACACTATGTGCCGTTCTCGAGATAATATACTGGGGTGAGTTTTTCAACCCCTTGGACGGCCGTGCACGGGGATGTTTTTCTTGAATATTAATTGTGGAATTGTTATCAAGCTCTCACGTAAATTTGGTCTTGATACTATGTGCCGTTTTCGCGATAATATACGGGGGTGAGTTTTTCATCCCCTTGAATAGCGGTGAAACCGGATCATATGTATTCTAAATTATTATTATTGATTATTATTTTTAATTCTGTAACAATATATTGACATAATTTGCATTGTAAAGCCAATTTATACTTCGGGCGTCTTCGGAAATTTGGTCTGCTGGAAATGGCCCGCTCTTTTCACAAAGGTCTCACAGATAATATCGATCATAATCTTTTTGAACTATGGGAAATGATATTGTGCTTTGTTCCATTTCGCTATCTACGATAGCTAACTGAACATTTGCTGTTATCGCGAAATAAATACAAAATACATGACCCAAGCTCATTAGATTTCCAGGTGAACTGCGCTCGGGCATCTCCTTGGGAGCCAAAGGATTTGGTCAATACATGTGGAAGACGAATCTGTTATTTCCTTTGTATCAAATTGCGGGACCTCGCGGTTGGGACATGAACGAGGGAGCCGAACCAAGTGAGTACCTAAAAATCGCAACAAAGCGCACTCATCGTTTCCTTTTCAGGCTACTACTATGAAGGTTTCTTAAAATTACAACAAGAACTTTCGTACGCCATTATAAAACATTTCAAGGGCAATTTCGACCGTTCATCGGTGCCGGTGTCCATGCAAAGGTTTCCTTACCCGAGATGGATACACGATATGCTGTTAACCGCTCTGCAGACGTTTATTGGGTTGATTATTATGCTGAGCTTTGTCTACACCTGCATTAGCACGGTGAAGATAATAACGACTGAAAAAGAAAAACAACTGAAGGTTTGTGTGTTCAAGCTGTGGGATCACTACTGAGCGTGTCGATTTTAGGAGGCGATGAAAATTATGGGTTTACCAAACTGGTTGCATTGGACTGCTTGGTTTGTGAAAACATTCTTCATTATGCTAGTCACGGTGATACTAATGGTGATACTTATGACTGCTAAATGGTATCCTGGGAGAAATTACACGGTGTTCTCACAGTCGAATCCACTTGTGATATTTGTATTCCTGCTGTTTTTTATATGCGCAACTATTACGTTTTGCTTTGCCATTAGCGTATTTTTTTCACGAGGTAAGTACAAGTTGCTATATATCCACTTTCCAGTATGTGTCATAAATACACTTGCAGCAAACACTGCGGCCACGATTGCAGGCATGGCATGGTTTTTATCCTACTTTCCCTACACGTTTTTGGCAGACAGATACGCTAGGATGACGCTGACTGAAAAATTGATAACGTGCCTCTGTTCTAATTCGGCGATGGCATACGGATTCCAGTTGGTAATCATGTTCGAAGGCGTCGGTGAGGGTTTACAATGGCACAACATATGGAAAACATCAACTCCTGACGACAACCTCACTTTGGGTTATCTTATGTTGATGTTATCGGTTGACTGCGTTCTTTACCTCTTAATCGCCTTGTATGTAGAAGCCGTATTTCCGGGCGAATACGGTGTTCCAAAACCGTGGTACTTTTTTGTTACGCGATCTTTCTGGTGTGGACCACGAGCGACCAGTGCGTAATCGTTCCGACATAGCGCAAATCTTAACGCTTATTTTTTCAGAAGTTGAAGATTTCCGAAAAACGCCTTTAGAAAGTTCATTCTACGAAAAGGAGCCTACTCACCTTCGCGTCGGTATCAAAATTGAGCGATTGCGGAAAGAATACAAGCAAAAAAGAGTTGCCGTCCGAGATCTCTCGCTTAATATGTATCGAGACCAAATTACAGTATTATTAGGGCATAACGGTGCCGGTAAAACCACCACAATGTCTATGCTCACTGGAATGATACCACCCACTCGTGGAACTGCCTTCGTCGATGGTCACGACATCACCAAGGATATGACAAGCGTTCGAAGTAGTCTCGGTTTATGTCCTCAGCACAACATACTTTTTGACGAACTAACCGTTGAAGAGCATATCTACTTCTACACTCGACTTAAGGGTATGGATAAATCAGAAATTAAGGCCGAAATCGAAAAGTACGTGGAAATGCTGGAACTTCAACCGAAGGTAAAACTCTCGAACCTGGGCACGTTTGCCTTACCAACTTTTTACAGAAACATGCACGATCGGATACCCTGTCGGGTGGAATGAAACGGAAATTATCGGTCGGCGTCGCGCTGTGCGGCCGTTCCAGCGTTGTAATGTTCGATGAACCAACGGCAGGTATGGATCCGGCGGCCAGACGAGCCCTGTGGGATTTGCTGCAAGTTCAGAAAAAGGGACGTACCATTTTGCTTACGACGCATTTCATGGACGAGGCCGACTTGTTGGGCGACCGAATCGCCATTATGGCGGGAGGCAAGTTGCAATGTTGCGGTTCGAGTTTTTTCCTGAAGAAGAAGTACGGAGCCGGTTATCATCTAATCATGGAAAAAATGCCAACGTGTGAAATCAGAAATGTTACGAATGTACTACAGAAGTATATGCCTCAGATACAGGTTAGTTTTTGACGTCACCACAAACTTATTTATTTAAATAATTCTTTCAAGGTGGAAAGCTGCATAGGATCAGAATTGAGGTACATACTAGCTGAGGAGCAATCGACTATATTTGAAAAGATGTTTAGTGACCTCGAAACAAACAGCGGGCGCTTAGGTCTTCAAAGTTATGGTATATCCCTCACGACTTTGGAAGAAGTTTTCATGAAGTACGTTCAATACTAATCGTTTTACCCTTTCCACTTGCTAACGTCCACTCATCCGACATTGACTGATCACTGGAGGGCAACTTTTAATCCCCAATCAAATTACAGAATTGGAGCTGATCATGCGCAAGAAGAAAGTAGCGAGACTGACGGATTAGATGTAATAAGTCACAGCTGCAATGGCAATTCTATTCCTGATAACCCTCATAAAAACAACAACATAAGCCCTACAGTCATATTCAATGGTCATCAGAATGGGGATCATCACGTACGAAGTAAGCATTAATTGGATTTTATCATTTACTCTTCCTAGTGCTGAAGAACTTTGACATGTTTTTTATGTGTAATCCGATTGGTTATGCGTTGTAATTGCTTTCTAGTGTTGAGTGTCTACTCTTTCTTTCTGTAGCATCATTCGATGATCATACAAATCATCAACAAGGATTTATCCTTTCCGTTTGATAGCTGCTTGTTATCATGATGTGTGTAAGTAAAGTGGCTCTAATCATCAAGCTTGCAATTTGAATGTTTAGCAACTTGGTGCATACCATGCGGTCGGCTAGCGAGTGAATTGGCGTATGCTGCAGATATGGACGACTAGCAAAGGTTGATGACTTTTGCATGTAGCTGCTCATTATCATCATATGTGTGCATATCGTGTTTCATGTCATCATGCTTGCAATGTAAATGGTCTGAGGTAAAACGGATTTGACTCGTTGTTCTCTCTTGAGCCCATTGATCTAGCAAAAACTGAAGCAACACACTAAGAAACCGTAAACTGTAAATAATCGGCTTTATGGTTCAGTGGTAGAGCGTTGGACTATAAATCCGGAGGTCAGGTGTTCGAACCTGGGTTGAGGCATAGAGTAAATACAATAAGAGTGCCAGGTGCTTATTCATTTGTGGTCACCTTTCACACACCTCACAGGTATGGCAATGTAAGCGTGGGAAAATTTTCATTCAGCGCCCCCTGTTATGTAGGACAAATCACTAATTGGGTAGCTGAATTAGCGCGTTTATGAACCACTCAAAGCCGCGGCTTTACAAATTCATTTGTAATGTCTGACTTTGAACTGATACATTTACGTACATTCTCTTTAAATAAATCAAAGAATTTTTCACTTTTCTTTACTGCCCGACCTTTCAAGAGGATGCATTCCGTAAAAAAAATACATTGATTGCAAGTACTCTGTCTAATAATTTATTACCTACTTGCAATTCTATAAAATGTGCGAAACGAAATCCAATATGTACCCAACAATTAATAGTAAGTATCGATGATTCATTAAATAATAAATTTGTTGAGGGTTTTGACAAACTTATTGTCCTTATTTAAATTCGAGTGCATAATGATTACAAGATTTGTATCGCATATTAGAGATAAGGTTTATTAATAAATTGATCGTTTGCTCGTTGGAAATTTCAAACCAATTTTTAAACTTCTCGCGTACCTACCTAACTACTGATACAATTCCAAATAATCCTCATGTCCGATTATTACTCGCTTCGAACAAAGTCTAGCTCTAGGTATTTGCTTTTTTTGTAGAAATTAATGTTACGCATCCGTTCGTACTATTGATAGCCATTTTCCAAATTTTCAAACTACGTGAGAAAAAAATCGTGTGAGATCGAATGGACTTCAGCGCATTTTTGTGTGTTAGACCAGTTTCTATTAGCCTGTTATATTGCAACATGAAAGTCGCAAAGTAACTTTTTCAAAAGGTAACCGCGTGGTAATTTTTTAGTCTTCTTCTGCAGTTGTAGAAAAATGAGGAGTGTACTTGTACCTATCAGGCCGCATACTTAACAATTCTTTAGAGACGGGGCTACATGATGTGAGGTCGGCGACATCCGGGCGCCATCCCCGAACGTGGTTTACTAACATGGTGATTTTTTAGTTTGTTCCTATTTTCTTCTGCAGGAAAAACTGAAAAATCACCACGTTAGTAAACCACGCTCGGGGATGGCGCCCGAATGTCACCGACCCCACATCATGTAGCTCCCCCCCTAAAGAATTGTTAATTATGCGGCCCGGTAGGTACAAGTACACTCCTCATCTTTCTACAAGCGATCTTCTACGGGGTCTCATTTGCTGCCAGCCAGCTAGCCCACCGGCCAAAGTGAGATTAAAAGCCACCGTTTTACAAATAAATTTGCAAAAAATGCGTTAAAAAGAGATATTTACAAGTTAAATCACTGTTTGCTGCTAAACAATGGCCTAGACGGTCCTAAAACTGTCGTCTAATTTCAAATTCAAATTCAATATGGCATAGCTTTAGGCATATAATACGCAATGCCAAAAATTGAGTCGAATCGATTCAAAATTCACAGTGCTCTTTTCGCATCTCGACTAATTATAAACCGAATTGCAAACTTTTTTATTTATGGAACATAGCCACTTGAAACAAAGGAAAATCTAACGTTAGTTTCAAAATTTAGGTTTGCGCATGCGCAGTGTCAACTTTCTTATTTATGAAAGCATTGAAATGAAATTCTTCTTATAAATTGAAATTGAAGTAGGACATCAAAATGGATTGCACATATGCAACGCTATCTTTCATATTTGTGGCCGGATTTTTACGATTTTAATAGAAGTTGCATCTGACAAATGAGAAATGAATGCAAAATGCGCTTTTTGTAAATTGTTTAAGATTACTTTTTTAACTTGTTGTCTTTAGTATTGAGTGGGCGGGGTTTCAGCTAAGGCTGCTCTACCAACCTAACCCACTACACATTTACAAATACCCATGCCCCCACCCTGATTCGAACCAGGGACCCTTAGTACCGCAGTCCAGCTTCAACTCAACTGCGACACACGGATCGGCTTAAGAATGATATTATTGTTTGTAAAATCATCCAATCACATGTTTTAACAACACTATTAGCTGACAACATAGTTAAGTATGCTGTATGGATTTATAATACGGGCCCATAATCATGAAATTAACAATTTTGTGGTTTTCCCTGTATTTCTTATCCGAGCGAAAATTTTCATTTTACCGTATTAAGTTTTAAAGTTTAAAAAGAGCACATGCTCAAAAATAAGTTAAAACCAACAACTTTTTTTTAAATGAAAATACATTTTTATTTTCCTTTTAGAATTTTACAGTGTTTCATGTACAGGGTGTCCCATTTTCGACACTTTTATAGGCGTTATGGGCTCTTTTTGGATCAAACTTGCAATGGTAAAATCAAAATTTGCACATTTTTGCTTCAGAGATACGGAGATAAATCAAACAATTTTCAATTTCAGAATGACCGTATATATTCTTAGTAAAAACAGAAACAAAAAAAATGTGGCATGAACATTATTGTTGATAAATAATCTGCCGTTTTCAAAATAAATAATTATACAGTACTATCGGGTAAAAAAGTTATTGGATCTAACTTAATTTTATTTAAATGGCATACCCTGTATATTTCAATCTAAAAATAGCATATTACATTCTGTTTTTTAAAATATAACACTAAAAAAATTCAATATCGATTCAAAAAGGTTCAAAAAAGATTTCTTAAAAATTCAAAAATTCGTTTGTAGTAATTTCTAATTTCAGTGTCAGAAAAAAGGGCGATTGTTCGTAGAAAACAGTTCCTTTTGTTGTGACGTCAAGTTTGAGCGGGAAATTCGAAATGCTGGACTTGGCTGTTTTACTGTCGAAGATATTGACCCCTATCGCCCCATACATTAAGTATCACTTTTAAATAGGTCCTCTTTGCGGGCTTATACTGAACTTATGCCCATTAAATAAGCATATCGACCTTCTTATATCGAAACACTGCAATGCACCATGTCACTACAATTCGCTTATAAATATATAAGATAAGATATGAATGTTTGAAATCGAAACCGGCGACACCTGATCTGGCTCGCTAATGCTGCGAACATTAATTATTGGCTGTCTTTTAGTGTGTTGTTTCATCTAATGTTGACATAGAGTTACAAGTGTAATCATGCTTGCACCAGATTTAGATTGAGTCACTTCCGATTGGTGGCTGCTCATGATCATCACATCTGTAAATCGAGTGACTCCCGCTATGATGCTTGCAATTTATATATTTCACTTCAGATTGCAACAAAGATAGTCATGAGCGTGACGCTTTCGTTTATTTACCGGATGAGATATATAAACTATTATTACTCAAAAGACAAATCTTTAAGACACTAGTAAATAATAATCATTTTGCAGTTCAAACGCATGCAGACGTACTGAAGGGGTGGGCGTTACGTGTCAATCAAGTGAAGGCGATGCTCCTTAAACGTTACCTATCAATTCTGCGCACCTGGGTCCTGTTCGTGATACAAAACTTCGTCCCCGTACTATTTTTGGTCCTAGCTATTGTGGTCGTCCGCGGTGCGCAGGTATTTCGCGATTTACCCAATTTGAAAATCCAACTTGAATCCTATGGGCGATCGGTAACCGTTTTAAATCACAGCGAATCGAATCCGTATGCAGAAAAATACAAGGAATTTTTGCAACACAGACTCAAGCATGTTACAGACTTGGGAGGTGACGACTTATCGTCTTACATGTTTAATGAGGTATGGTGAAGTTACGTAATTAGGGAGGCTTGACTTAGATCGTTGCATTTTAGACTATCGACAGCAATACCGCTGTAAGACTACGTCACATAGCCGGAGCTACGTTTAGGAAGGACAATTCGATAACTGCATGGTTTAACAACGAACCGTACCATTCACCACCGTTAGCTCTGCAACTGGTGATGAACTCGATTCTCCACAAAGAAGTCGGTAATAACCACTACATACAGTTTTACAACCATCCTTTAGAATTTACAATAAACACCAAGGTAAATCTGCGAACTGTCGAGACATCAGCTTACGTTTCATTTCAGCTAATGGATTTAGGCAGGGGTCGAAATATGGGTTTTCAAATCGCTTTCAACATTGGATTCAGTATGGCTTTCGTATCCTCATTCTATGTGATGTTTTACGTACGCGAACGGGTCTGTAAAGCGAAACATTTGCAGTTTGTTTCCGGAGTTAACGTGCTTTCATTTTGGGGCCCTTCGTTTCTGTGTGATTTGATTACTTTCATATTTACATCTGTATGTGTAATTTTAACTTTGCTGATATTTCAAGAGGAGGGATTTAGTACAGCCGCGGAACTAGGTAAATATTCACTAGTGTAGGATTGTTACTTTACACAAATATTTAACGTTTGTAGGCCGCACTTTCTCAATACTTCTGTACTTTGGATTTTCTATGCTCCCCATGATGTACTTGGCGTCGTACCTATTTGATATTCCCTCAACGGGATATACCCGTATGACACTCGTCAATATTTTCACCGGTAAAAAGTGCTTTTCATACAACGCATGACTAATGAGCATACATTGTAGGAGTTGCTGGGTTCCTTGTGGTACAGGTACTTGGATCTCCAGGGTTGGATTTAGAACACATAGCAGAAATTCTTCATTGGCTCTTTCTCATCATACCTCATTATTCACTGAGCACCGGAATTCGAGATATTAACGTGCTGTACTCCACTCATCAGTTATGCAACAGCATTTTGGAGAGATGTATCAACTTCGATCTGCCTGGAATGCCACGCCTTTCACCGGCACTGTGTAAAGAAAGACTGTGTGCGTCCCAACCAAAGTGTTGCTGTAAGTATCCCTTGAGACACATTGCAAGCACTCGAAACCACTGTAACGTACATTTATTTATAAACTTTAAGGCATACTGCCGAGTAGCAAATATAGGTCTTGTTATGCTAGACAGTTACATTTTATTTTTGGGTGCTTGCAGTGTTTTTAAAATGTATTGCGCACAATCAATATGTTTGTAGCAACTCCTACAAATTACTACGCGTGGGAAGCTCCCGGAATTGGAAGGAACGTCATTTTCTCCACCCTGGTAGGTTTATTTTTAATAGCGATCCTCCTGTTAATTGAATACCGAATACTGGAACGGTTACGATATGCCCTACAAGGCAAGAAGGTGCGCTCAAATCCTCCGCCAATTGAAAATGAGGACAGTGACGTAATAACCGAAAAAGAAAAAATTCAAAATATGTCGGCAGAGGAGATTAAAGAACACAGCTTAGTTTTGAAAGACGTGACAAAGTATTACAAGAACTTTCTGGCTGTCAATAGGATCTGTTTGTCGGTGAATAGGTACGAATGCTTCGGTTTGCTCGGCGTGAATGGCGCCGGTAAAACGTCCACGTTTAAAATGATGACCGGCGACGTGAAAATTTCCGAAGGTGACGCGTGGGTAAACGGTTTAAGCTTGAAATCGAAAATGAAAGAAATCCATCAGATGATCGGATACTGTCCGCAGTTCGACGCACTTCTCGACGATCTGACCTGCAAGGAGACTTTGATCATCTTCAGCTTGCTGCGCGGATTTACGATGAGCGATAGCGAACTGATCGCGCAAAAGCTCGCTGAAGATTTCGATTTCACGCGGCATTTGCGTAAGAAGGTTAAGCAGCTAAGCGGCGGGAACAAGAGGAAATTAAGTACTGCGGTTGCGATGATAGGTAATCCGCTTGTTTTGTATCTGGATGAACCGACAACCGGTATGGATCCCGCAACGAAACGATACTTATGGAACGCTTTGTGCAAAGTGAGAGACCAGGGCACGTGCATTGTACTTACTTCTCACAGCATGGATGAATGTGAAGCTTTGTGTACGCGATTGGCGATTATGGTGAACGGTTCCTTTATGTGCTTGGGTTCAACTCAGCACCTCAAAAGTAAATTTTCGGAGGGCTACACACTTATTGTAAAAGTCAAAAAAATGAGTAACTCAGAGTCTGAAGAACTCCAAAAATCCGATACAGATCCCATCGAGGAGTTTGTCATGGAAAATTTCCGAAGCGCGATTATTCGCGAAAAGCACCAAGAACTACTCACATTTTACATATGCGACAAATCTTTGCCATGGTCAAAGATGTTTGGTATTATGGAGAGGGGTAAACAGACATTAAATATTGAAGACTATTCTCTAGGTCAATCCAGTTTGGAACAGGTACCTAACGTTAAAACAATGTTTCATTATAATTGTTAATTTCTGCACAGGTATTCTTGACCTTTACAAAACATCAACGTGAAGAAGAGAGTTAACGAATGGTCCAACTTTATTATCATGAATATTATGGCTATCTCGAAACATACATATTCCAAGTTCCAACTAACTTTTTAAGATTCAACACAAAATGTAAATCTTCAGTAGATGACGACAGTGAAATCATCCCTTTTAAAGTTATTTTACTTTTGTTTGATGGTTGATTAAATATTCTGAAATGTGCCATTTTACGGCAAACAATGTGATAATAGATTTCTAGTTAACAATCATATTATAATTCTATATTATTGTATCAAGATACATAGCCGTGATTGCAATTTTTGTCATTTTTAAAACGAGATAGATAAATGAAAAAGTGCCTCTCAATCAAGTATTTTTATAAATAACTTTTATATAATTACCTAAGTATTTACTTTACCATTTATTGTCACAAAACTTCTCTTATCTAGTCACGAGGTGTGCAGCATTATATAAGATATATAGGAACAAATAAAGAATATGAATTCCAAATTTTTATTATTGAAAGAACGATATTTTAAGGAGCTCCTTAATAATGAGAAAGTAAAACCAAAGAGTAAGTTACTCTTTGGTAAAACATCAAGAAAACTCCTATTTGATAAATGCGGAAATATTCGAACGACTGACTGGTCAAAGATGCGCGACTGTGTACAAATGTGTGCAGTTAATTATTATATTTTATTATTAGTAGTATTGTATTATGTAAAACTCCTTGCTGATATTCAGATATATTCTTCGTCCACGCCTTTGCTGTTTGCAAACTAATATTTTTGCCATGAATAAAGCGGTCACAGTGGTGGTAAAAACTGTAACCAAATTAGTTACGACACCTAACGCTGTGATTGATCTCGAATCTCAACTATATAGGCTGGGAAATCCGGCACGAGGGCCCTTTATTACCTGTGGGGGAGACTCTGCTAACACAAAAACTCTTCGTTTTAGAATCTATTAGCGATATGAATGGCGAATCACTAATTTCCACATGTTCCACAGCTTAAACATTGAATTTGCCATCCAAGGTCACGTAATTTTCCATGTTACTTTTAACAAAAAAGCTTTATTGCACCAAAGATGAGCCACCTGGTGTGAAGCTACATTATTTTCCAGCTGATTGTACGCCAGACAGTTCTTTGTTTTGCGACTAGCTTTTGACCTTTGTTGATATTTGGCCATTTTTAAAGTAGTTACGATACCGGGTTGATTTTATTTCCGTGTTATTGTAGTATGAAGTTGGCGTAGAACCTGGGGGTTAAAAGTACCTACACTACAATATATTAATTAAAAATGATGAACCACAATAACCTTCAACATTAAATACGAATTTCAATCAAACAAATTCGGTACACTAAGGTTGCTCGTTTGTTAAGTGGACACCTTTCCTGTTTCGAAATTACTATCTGCCTTGATAGAAAAATGAGCGTGGTTATAAATAACCCTGTTTCAACAACCCATTATAACATTAAAGCCTAGCTAATGGTTAGAAACCTCATTAATGAAATTTGCATCCAAACCTTAAATAATAAAAAAGATAAATAAATACCTAAATAAAAATAAATTAAAATTTTCCACTTTAATTCTTCTTACTAAATCAAAATTTTTCGCGCCGGTAGGTATAAGTATTTGTTTCCCATTTTTTATATTTTTTATTTGATTTTTTGGTTACATAACGTTATACGGACCCCTTAAGCAACGTGCATGAAATTGGAAAAAACTGTTAGAGTACCTTAATAAGCATTTTCAACAAAAAATTTTACGGAAGAAGCCTGACATTTTCCGTAATCTTAATAAGAAGTTCAGTTCAGTTCATTTCATCGAAACATGAGGTTATGTTACATCATATCATGATTATTTTTATGTTGGTAAGAGTGTCCTGAGTGCTTTACTTCAATTTCTTAAGAGGTTATGTTAACATTTTTCGACGATGTTAGATATTGTGATTATCCACCCTTATGGTAAGGCAACACACCTGAAACAAAAATATGATATGCTCTGTATATAATCAGTGGTAGAGCATTGGGCTATAAATCCGGGGTCGGGTGTTCGAACCTGGTTTGAGGTGAATTTTTCATCTGTGGCAGAGATGGGAATTTCCTTAGATCAGTTTCAAGCATTCTGTCGGCTACTCCACATTAGGTTTTCCTGCAGTTTACCTAATACGTAAAGTAAATACCGGAGTAGTATAGAACAACTTAAGACCTTCTGCAGGGACACCTCTAAAAAGCATTATGCGGGTCACTCTGTAATTGGGCGTAAGCCTGTTGAGGGCCTAGAACAAGAGGGACAATAAATAAATAAAATAAAATACTAGGGGATTTTCGTAACGAAGCTAGGGGAGAATGAAAAAAATGGCGACGAGGTCGACGGAAGCTCTTTCCTTTTCTAAGGACGGAAGGCATCACGCTTTCCCGGTTTTTTTTTATTCTTTATTATTTTTATGGTGGTGTTTTGAAGGTGTATTTACAGGTAGTAAACATTTTATTCTTTCTTGTACTAGCTATTAATAATTGAATTTCTTGCAACAATTTGATATTATTTACATTTTGCTGATTTTGCATAATCTACGATAGGTATCTGAATCATGCGGCGTACTCCATGCCGTTGTTTTGAGTACCGATATCTGAATCGTGTTTGTTATACTGTACAGGTGATTATGCCATTATTTTGTTTTATTAAGTATTTATTTCTGTATTCACGAGGAGTTGATTATCAGTGCAATATGTTACTCTGTCCGATTGCTCCGTAACTATTCCGTGAGGGAAGTACCTAATACAGTTTGATTGTTCGCTGTATCTGTTACTTTCTGATTCGTGGTGCGCTGCAGTTCTTGTGCGTTAGCTATACGAAGGGGGGCTCTTTTATTTGATGTTCCGATGTTTCTGTGTGGGAGTGGTTAATTCTGTCTCCGTGGAGTAGGTACTTAATACAGTTCATCTGTCCCTGTATCTGTTGCCTACTCGCCTCGTGCGGATTGCAGTTAGCATCTTAGCAATGCGAGTAGGGGCCCTCTCATATTAACATTTCCACTATTTAAAATATGTTCTGCTTGAGCGATAATCGATTTTCACATGAATAAGTACTTGCTATTGGCCATTGGCATTCTCACCTATACTTTTCGTGTTAAATTAAATTATATAAACGGAAGACTCGAGTAGAGCCACCATTTACATGTTTCCTATGTACATGCAATTTATTATTTTACGAGTTGTGTTAGCTCACTTGATGGTACAGGTATTTTGATGTGTTTTTGTACTGAATTGATTTATCATGTTTTCCACTGCATTTATTATGTCTTGTGTATTTTGTTATGAACTTGTTTAATTGCATTTGATTTGATTACCTGATTTTTATCATACAATTTGAGATGTTTTATTTATGTGTATTTTCTCTTGCATTTTATTGTTGTAGGTCATTTATTTCACGTATTTGTGTGGCCTATGCCGGGGTTTTTGTCCCGTAGAAGGTTTCCCTGGCATGGTCTTGTTATGTGCGTAATATATTTGTTTGTTCCTGTCATTTCTTACGCACAAAAGTTTTGTCTTTTATTTAATTCCCCTCCCGATTATGCCTCACGTCCCAACACATACAAGAACCAATTACACCACGTAGCGTTCGTGCCAAGGTAGGTGGCTCTGCGTGTAGATTTTTTTGCCAGAGTTGCCAAAGGTAAGTATAGGGTAAGTCATCGTTTTCAGGATCGACTTGAATAGACCCCTAGGAACAATACTGTATTTTTAAATATTAGAAAATGTCGATAGAAAACCATAGGTAATAATAATAATAATAATAATAATAATAATAATATCTCTTTCCTGATAGCGTTGGCTTATTGTGCCCATGTGTGATTTTTTTTTTTTTTTTTTTTTTTTTTTTTTTTTTTAGGACCCTACATAACTTCACCAGACACAGACACAGACACTGATCGTTACTTGATTTTAATCCGTGCGATTAGTTAACCAGGCTACACCTGAGTTCTCACAAGAAACACCGACCATAATAATAGCAGTAAGTACTTCTCTACATGTTTTACATAATTCATGTGTAAATTATTTACAGATGAACAACATGCTTCGTTTCATTAACTCAAGATAACGAGAGCTCGGTGAGAAAAAGGCAGCCCGTGAAAGATGCGAGATTGGCCCTTCCCCTATCGGGTGTTCAAGATTGGCGATACGGAAAACGCGGCCCATGAAAGATGCGATAGGTACCGTTCCCCTCTTGAATGTGTAAGGCGGTCGATGCTAATCAGCGATTCATACACAAAAAGGCGTTCGATACGAAAATGGCGCTCTCGGTTGTTCAGAGCGTTCGATACGAAAAGGATAGCGCATGGAAGATGCGCGGGGTGCCCCTTTCCCTCTAGAGTGTAGGGTGGTAGTGAAAGGTAGTCGATGCGCAAAAGGCAAAATGCGACCCTCTCTACGACGTTCTTCTTCTCACGTTCAAGTTTAGACTGTGCGTGCGCTTTCAAAAGCAGTTTTATTAAAGTGTATCCACATGGAGGTGTTGCTTGGTTTGGATATAAGCCGTAGTAATTGTAAAATTATATTATACTTACTACTTTTATTACAATAACTTAAATTCATACACAAACTCCGACAGCTTCTGATCTTCACAAAACTTGATGAGAAACATCAACTTGATGAATAAAATGTCGCATTGCCGATGGCTGTTCAGACGGTTCAAACAAGTTTTTGTCAACTCCTGGTATTGGGAATGTTTTAAATAGACGTTAAACGGGGCATTTTTTGGGAAAAACAGTCAGTCTTAGGGGTTGTAAAGTTCTTGTATTGTTCTAAGAGAGAGAAGGAGTCATTATAAAGGTGTTCTACTTCGAGTTAGGCTCAAGCGTTGTGTCATGTATACGGAGAAGTAGTTTGAGTGTTGTGTCTAGCAAACAGTAATCCCATAAATGGGGCGATTCTTTAAGGTTTTTCCAAGTACCTGATAAAGTGAAGTTATCCACCAACTTTGGCTCAGAATCCAAGTCGTGCAAGTTGCAAAGACCTTTAACACAGTTAATCCACCTCACTGGCATGTTTACAACAATAGACAACACTAACAGTTACGATCGAATTTGTTCTGTTTTTAAGGTATTACATATAACATTACAACGATCACATAAGTCATTTTCACATTTAGCTGAATGTTTCCGACATCTATCACACATAAACAAAGCAGTGTCACTAATTTGTAAATCAAACTCAGGAATCGCATCCCCAACAATTTCAACCCGTGCAACTTGCAATATATCAGCCAGTTCTTTATTCATATCTTCAGCTACCCCCTAGAAAAAAAAGGGCAATAACAAACGGAAAACTACCATAATCGTTACCTTCAATTGCTGATACGGTACTTCTGGTAGCCTAATTGAAACATTACGATTTAAAGTATTAGCGCCCACAATCCTATGCAGATCCTTTTTTATTACTAAAATAGTGTTTTCCATTAATCTTGCGATTTTGGGGTCATCCCATGTCTCAGGATTTAAATGTAAATGGAAGAACGAATCTTGTACTTGCTGAGGAAAATGAAGATACAATTCCTCCGTTAGATGTGGCGTGATTGGCGCAATGCATTTCGCGACCGTTTGAGCAAGCCGATACAGCACAAACTGTGCCGCTTGTCGACTCGGGCTATACTGTTCGTCGCAATACAAGCGATCTTTAATTGCTACATAGTACAAGGCTGAAACAGGATTCGTTACGAAATTAATTAGATATTGTGACAGCCTATTGTAATCGTAGGAGTTATATGCTTGAAAGACCTGCAAGAACATCCTTTATTAAAATGGGCGAATGGTACACGTACCTTATTGTGAAGGTTATGCAGCAGGTGCAACATGTATTTATCTATAACAAGTAAATGGGAAGCATGCATCACATTTTCTTCATAGTCAAATAAGGAACCTAGGGCAAATCGTAACACGCTCCTAATTTTTTGCACTTCATCTGCACTGGTTTGTAAGATATTATCGCTTACGTGAGTGATGGCATCAGAATTTGCATGGCAGACAACCCACCACCTAAAAAATTGTTACTTAAATGATTTTAGTCTTACCCATTGCGTCTCTGCTCAACAACTCTCAAATATTGAAATTTTATGCCGACATTATAGTTCCATTCATGTCAAACTGCCTACCTTAACGCGTCAATGCCGTAAGTTTTCATACCATTCCTTCCCTCTAAAATATCGACAGGATCGACGACGTTCCCCAAAGATTTAGACATTTTCAATCCGTTTTGGTCAACTACAAAACCGTGAACGTATACCGACTTATACGGCGACTTATTCCTTAAGGCAACCGATGTCATTAGGGACGACTGAAACCAACCAGTAAATTGATCGACCCCCTCCAGGTACATATCAGCCACTTGATCGCCCTCCAAGACATTGGACCAACTCAAACCACTGTCCAACCATATATCGAAGATATCCTAGAGATTAGGTTTTGTTAGCTGACGTTGATAAAGGGATGAGCACTTACTTCGCCCTTTCGAATTTGGTCGCGTGGAACATTACATTTTGACTCGATGTCTTCCGGTAGTAGATCTGATACGGATAGTTCCCACCAGTAGTCCATTCCGTATTTATCCATTAGTGAAAACAGTCGTTGCAAAATTTCTCTAAAAGTATACGGCTTAAACGACCGTTTCTGTTGAAGTACTAATTGTTGTTTAGGTTAAACAGATAAATTCAGTTGGTAAATGTTTGTAGCAATTTGAGTGTGTAATAGAAACCAATCCTTTTTGTGGTTCTCCAAGTTGAAAAAATGCGGATAAATAAGGGAATGTTTAATCGTAATTTCGACATAGCGTAAAAGTTTTATATGGCTAGATGTTTTGTAAACGCGTTATTGGACAAATTAATTGGCCTTGTTTACTAACAACGCCAAGTGCAAGATGAAAAATGCAGGTGTTTGGAGTTCGGGCGATGGTGTTGGGAATAGCGAGCGACGGTGGGGAACAACAATATCGAACTTGTAAATATGAAAACGCTTAAGCCTAATGTATTCGCCGTAATACTGTTTGCGGGTCGACTGAAAATAGTATGGCATTGTTGCGTTAAATTATTACGGACAAGTTTTTGCCAAGTTTTACACAGTACCGCTGATAAGACAAAGTTGTGTCCAGTTTTGTATTGTGTCTTATTAAAAATCTTATCACCCGATCAGCTATGATAATTACTCGCTAAGCTCATTCAACAAGTTATTGGATTACCCAAGTTATGTGAGTTTTAAAAGCTGTCAGCTCTGTGTAAAGTGTTTGGTTTGTCATCCATCATATTTCCATTGCCCGGACCTTGGATATTAATTCGACTAATCTGTGAGTACTTATTTTTCTTGAAATCTCTTGAATTGCTCGTTAATTTTGTTTGCTCGTTTTGTAAATGTGTTGTGTGTGTTCAAAAGGCTAACAATAGCCTTAATTTTTTCGTTCAAGTTTTTGTATTCGAATTTGTTTTCATGATTGTTTTTAAACTGAGCTTAGCTTAAACGTAACTTAAAATCCATGGCAACGTTTATTCAAACAATGGTTGCCATGGATTTTAAGCTACGCTTAAGCTTAGCTCCGCTTAAATTTGTCGGCGAAAATGGCCATTAGTCAAATAAATTCTTGTAATTCCCGATTTGAGATCCAGGTAAAGTTTTAATTTTCTCTGTTTGATTTTTTCTGTTAATCCGACTGTTAATTTCAATTCAAAATTTGAGTAGTGAGTTCATTGGAATTTACGATTTAGATTAAAGATTCGTCATTTTCAAATTATAAAGTTTTAGAGACAATGTTAAGATTTTTGTTTGTGTCGGAACCCGGTCATGCCCTGAGGAATTTTAAAAAGAAAGCATAACATAATGGTAATTTGAGCCAGGTAGGTCTCTGCTGGGTGGTATTTTGACCGCGTACCATTACACACAGCAGTATATTCGGGGTGAGGTAAATGAAGCGGGTCATTGTAATTAAAATAAGGGCGTGGTAAATGCGTATGTAGTAACTGAATGTTGAATGTCAAAAAGCGTATGATAGCGCTGAGTTAAGTGTTTAAACCATCCATCGTTGTAAGATAAAGCGCTGATTACACACATCCCCCCTCCCGCCCCTACCGAACGCGAGATTAAAGTAGCGATCAAAGGACTGGCCTCTTGTCTGCCCCGAAGAGATTGCGGAGGAGTTGACGGAACAGAGCTTCCATCTCACTTACTATTTGCTCTATACAACATCACGGACATGCTGTACTGCTGCAGCGTTAAAGTAGAAGCGTTCAGGGCTGTGAGGGAGATCATGCAGTGCTTCGCGTGACAGCGTATCGGGCATTCGAGCGTGAGCGAGTAGCCGCACGCCCTTATGCGTTCGCTGCGCCAAAACCCACAAAGCTACGGATTGCCCAAAACCGCGGGAAGAAAAACCAACTTGCGCCATGCTATCTACCGCTATCTTCTTAAAATGAATACAGTATAGTGTCGTAGTGCACTATTGAAGACAATTTAACGCTTAAGCGCTATTTAAGGGTGTATGCTTATATAAAAGCGATTTAACCACCCACTTTCGTTTCATACATTGGGGTCATAAGTTGGAATTCGCACCTGAAAATTCTAAACATATTAACGTATTACAGTTCGCTTTATTTTTATTGTACAGAGTGTTTTTAATAATACAATTAATTTTCCTTTAGCACCTGACGGTCATTAATTGTACGTTGAGTTATTAGTTATCCCTTTATCCTATTCTTAAAAGAGCAGAAGAGGATCACTGACTGGCAGCTAGCCGGAGCACAGTTGTTTATATAATTACATAATAAGAACCACACGCAATTTAATTAAGTTGTATAAAGATTAATCAGAGCAAAGATCATACTACACTAGATAGACAACGCTGTATAAATTTTGTACTCCCATAATTCGTTCGTCACAATAAGTCGACTGCGTACCCCAGAGGCGATGTTTTTATTACAATAGTACTAACTACCTGGCGGACGTTGAGATAAAAGGCCTAAACTCCGTACAATCTGCGCATGCGAAAGAAACGTCAAAGTTGCAATGTTATTAATTAAAATGTAGGTTAGGTTATTGTTTTCATCACAGGCTGTTATAATGAACAAATATATTCGTAAATCGTAATGTACATTTAAACTCACAGACTTTTGACGTTGTTATACCAAGAGCCATGTTTCGCTGCGGCAGTATAAAATCCGAAAAGGACAGTATAAGCCCCATGTTCACAAATCGTAACCCAAGACATTTCAAATACCTACGAATCGCTAATAAACCGGACGGCTACTACGGTGATAAAACTGGAACGCTCCTACTGGCATAAATATACAAATTTGCTTTCCTACCGCCTCCAATAAGACAGCCCGATTGTAGATGACAACCGACACAAACAGGCCGTGCACCATTAGGACCCGACACTCGCTAGCACGAAGGAATGGCGGCTGTATAAGACCATGCACCAAGTCGTTGGCGTACGTGAACGTCCCTGCATTCAATTTAATGTTTGCTACTTGTAGGTTTCAGTTCTTAGTACAAAGATGCCTTGCAAACGGTCCGACAGAGTTTATGTGCGATTGCAAACCCGAACACAACGTCAGTAAGGTCGCAAAGTTTCTAATGTGCTCCAAGATTTCAATTTGAAATTGCCAATTCACTATAACTAAGGTGCCCTTTTTATTATTCTGTAATTTATTATTATTTAATGTTTAAAATATTGGTAAGCAATAAAAAGTTTACATATTTATCAAATTTATTGTTCTTGAAACCCATTAACTTCTTCTTAAAAAATCAAATAAACGGTTTTTCATGCAATTTAGAAATTAGTAATAAGCACCTTCTTTGGAAGAACCTTTGAGTTAGAAACAGGGAAGCATCTCGACAGACTGAACGTAGGGCTTTCTATCACTTCATTGCAGCGACCCAATTCTCAGCCTTCTCTTTACAGAAACTATGGAAGCACAAGTACAAATAAAACTTTATTGTAAATTATGCAGCTATTTACCTAATAGGTCCACAATTTAAGATCGATTCACATTATCTGTCAAGTCAGATTATATCCCACGGGTTTGGTAATCTTTCTCTCGTCCACGGCTCTCTTGACTATTCCGGTTCAGACAATTTCAAATTGAAATCTTGGAGCACGTTAGAAACTTTGTGACCTTACTGTCGTTGTGTTCGGGTTTGCAATCGCACATAAACTCTGTCGGACCGCTTGCAAGGTGTCTTTGTACGAAGAACTGAAACCTAAAAGTAGCACACATTAAATTGAATGCAGGGACGTGACCGTGTGACGTTCACGTACGCCAACGACTTGGTGCATGGTCTTATACAGCCTGGTTTTGATGGCCCATTCCTTCGTGCTAGCGGTGAGTGTCGGGTCCGTTGATGTAATGGACGAACAATGAAGTTACGTGACGGCCTGTTTGTGTCGGTTGTCATCTACAATCGGGCTGTCTTATTGGAGGCGGTAGGAAAGCAAATTTGTATATTTATGCCAGTAGGAGCGTTCCAGATTTATCACCGTAGTAGCCGTCCGGTTTATTAGCGATTCGTAGGTATTTGAAATGTCTTGGGTTACGATTTGTGAACATGGGGCTTATACTGTCCTTTTCGAATTTTATACTGCCGCAGCGAAACATGGCTCTTGGTATAACAACGACAAAAGTCTATGAGTTTAAATGTACATTACGATTTACGAATATGTTTATTCATTATAACAGATACCAGCTTGTGATGAAAACAATAACCTAACCTACATTTTAATTAATAACATTGCAACTTTGACGTTTCTTTCGCATGCGCAGATTGTACGGAGTTTAGGCCTTTTATCTCAACTGCACTGGTAGAGGCCGTGGCGGTCCCAGGATTGGTAGGTGAGGGGCCCAAACCCGAACTTTGTCCCAACAAGGAAAAAAATAAAAGAAATCTCGCATAATGGAAATGAGATCGACAGAAATTTGATGAAAAAATGAACACTCGGGGGGGGGGGGCTGGAACCGCCACTGGTAGCAAGGGATCAAAAATAAGTGCTGTCTGAAGCAATGAATAAATTTTTATTCATTGGGTGTCGAAGTTCGCCATTGGAGTTCACGTTAAGTACGATTTCCTATGTAAACAAAAATTCCAAAGGTGACTCGACACTCGACAGCAACTCATGTTTCATCGCATATAGCACAGTGCCACCATGCTCAGAAAAGCCCCGGAAAATATGCGAACTAATTTTGAAATAATTCAGGCTGGCCAATAGAAATTCTGCAAAATTACGCGATACATTCCGCGCCATATTATTAATTATTCTTTGACAGTTGACGCTTTACGTTATTTTAGCTTACACTTTGCTTCTTGTATTTACTTTACTTCACGTTTTCCGTCTCCAGTTTTATACAAACTCGTCTTTTTCAAGACTAAATTTCTAGCGCCCTCGGACACGCCCTGTCAGGGACTTTCTGAGCGTGGTGCCACTTGTATACGCATGTTTGTACCATTTTGCGAACGTCTCGCATTTGAATTTTTGATTCACCTTAGTGCGTACTAG